TATGTGAATTGGCGCAAAGACCCAGGATTGAGGAAATTGTACTTTTATGCCGCTATCATTTGTGTCGCTTCTGCAACGACTGGTTATGACGGGTACGTTCACTCGCTTCCAGAACATTGGCCTTCCCGACCAAATAACTCTTTCGTGCAGATCTATGTTGAACAATATCCGAATTCTGCCTCAATGGAACGACTACTTCGATAACCCACAAGGCTCCAATCTCGGGCTCTTGACGGCCTTGTATAGTATTGGCAGTATCGCGAGTTTGCCTATCGTGTGAGAGCAGCCATTCCCAGGATGTCATACTATATTAACGACTTCCAGACCATTTATTGCAGACCGTTTCGGTCGCAAGGTCGCAATTATTGGGGGATGTATTCTCATGATCATTGCTGCAGGCATCCAAGGCGCGTCTCAGAATCTTGCAAGTGAGTTTCCTTAACGCGGTATGACTTCTCAATGCGACGCTCATGGTATTTAGTGTTCAAGGGGGCTCGCTTTCTTATGGGTTTTGGAAACAGCATGGCACAACTCTCCGCCCCGCTTCTCCTCACAGAGCTATGTCATCCCCAACACAGAGGTCGTGTTACAGCCATTTATAACTGCCTCTGGAATCTCGGTTCGATCGGTACGAAACCAGCTCGCTACCCGTAGATAGCACTGAATTTTCGACTGACACAGTGAATACCTGGCTGACATTCGGCACGAGGAGGATTCCGAGTACCTGGTCTTGGAGAATCCCAACGATCATTCAAGGTGGTCCATCGGTTATCCAGCTTCTCTTCATCTTCTTCATTCCCGAAAGTCCTCGTTGGCTCATCTCGAAGAACCGCCCAGAAGAAGCTCTCAAAATCCTGGCCAAATACCACGCAAATGGAAATGCCAACGACCCCACAGTTCAATTCGAGTACGCCGAAATGAGAGAAACACTTCGATTGGAGTTTCAGTACAAGAAAACGAGCAGCTACTTCGATTTCTTGAAGACTCGCGGGAATAGATATCGCTTATTGCTCATCATCAGTCTCGGGCTCTTCTCGCAGTGGAGTGGGAACGGCCTCGTCAGTTATTACGCCACAAATGTCTACGACAGTGTTGGTATCACAAGTCCAAACTCCCAGCTCGGAATCAACGGTGGTCTGTCGATCCTCAGCTTGATCGTCAGTGTAACATTTGCGCTGCTGTGCGATAGAGTCGGACGTCGACCGCTGTTCCTTGCAGCCACCATCGGTAAGCATCGAAGCTCAACGTCGAACTTGATTTCTGACTTGAATCCGACAGGGATGCTGATTTGTTTCATTGGCTGGACAGTCTGTTCTGCCGTCTATCAAGATTCGGGAAATGCTGGTGCTGGACGTGCAGTCATCGCGTTTATCTGGCTATTCAGTGTCAGTTACGCCTTGGCATGGTCAGGCCTTTTGGTGGCCTACACCGTCGAGATCATGCCTTTCAAGATAAGAGCAAAGGGATTGATGGTTATGAATTTCTGGATTCAGGTTGCACTGGTGATCAATCAGTACGTCCAGCCATGTTGCGCATTAGTAGTGGAATCTTGGGATTTATCCTGGGAATACGTCTTACTACGCCACATTCTCCAAATATTCACAACTTTCACTGACCGTTCCTCACACAGATATGTGAACCCACTCGGCTTCCAACACTTGAATCCCAACTGGAAGCTCTACACGATCTATACTGTGAGTTTTGGAATCTTTATACGGACCTCGTTCAATATTCTTCCGCTTGTAATAGTGCTGGATTGCTGTGAGTATTGGGATATCTATAACAATCTCTGTCTTGACGTGCTGACAACCGATAGTTCGAACTCGTGTTCATATACATCTTCTACGTCGAAACGAAAGGACCGACTCTGGAAGAGATTGCCAGGATATTCGATGGAGAGGAGGCTGAGGTTGCCCAGGTTGATATCGCCGAGAAAGTCACTCGCGATGACTCCATGGAGAAGGTTGGCGTTCCGGACGAGCAAAAGGAATCACCTTCTGTATAAAATTACGTTGTATGTCCACCCGTCTAAAGGTTTTATCTGGGCGTATGGGTGATATACTGTGTAAAAACTACCCTTATTTTAACATCTTTTTTGGCTGTTTTGTTCGCAAAAGTCAATGCAACTTTCTAGGTTGCGTTCAACTTTTTGCGCCTGGCGGACGGAGCTTTCGTCCAAGTTAAATGCGGCGCTCGTGGGTTTTCTTCCCGCACATTCCCGCCGCCCGCCGGATGAGCGTGCGTACCGCAGGAAAAAACCCACCTCTTCGCGTATCTGGACCTGTAGTGCCCAGGCATAGCTGGGGATATGATACATCACATTGTTCTGAATAGGACTGCCCACTGTCCCGTAAACGGGGACGACCGTCAATCTCAAGACCCGCGACGGGTACGGGCCGTCATAAAAATGGCCATCATTTCTTCCTGGAGACCAGCTGACGGGACGGGACGGCAAAAATACGGCCGTCAACCGTAAATTGACGGGACGATCCCGAGGTGCGCGAAATTGGGCATTAAATTTGAAATCCCAAGTATATGAAGGAGTGGAATGTACCAATAGTACCCCGAGATGTACCAGTACAGTTCCTGTGCCAGGCTTCCACAGAAACCGGTGCATTGAAGACCAGCCATGTTCATTCACGTGAGTGGTTGGGAATATAGAACCCCCGTGAAGCCTCTCTTTGATGCCCGTATCACTTCGGGTGACTGAATGACTTTGCAGAATTGATCTACAACTGATTTTTTTTCAGTTTTGGAAGAGATGAAGGTGAAATTCCTACTTACACCGACCCAACCCGGATGCGGCCATCAACGGTGGCACTTTGCCGGGACGGGCGGCAATTTTGCCGTCCCGTACCCGCCCCGTAAATTTCATCCGGGAAATGCTCGACGGGACGGGACGGCATGCCGTTGACGGCCCCCGTCACACCCGTAAATACGGGGACGGTGGGCAGCCCTAGTTCTGGAGGAGAACAACGGCATGGTGTATCAGGGACTCTCGCCAGAACACGGCATGATGCATCACTTGAGAACACGTACCGTTTCCGGAATTTTTCCGTACCTGCGTGCCCGCTCGCCGTTGCCCGCCGCCAGCTGGAGTAATGACGAGAAGAATGGGAGTGGAAGTGGGTGACTCCTATCATCAGGGAGCGAGTCCCATTCTTGATGGCACGACAATGGGACTGACACTCCAACGATGGGACTCGAGCCTATAACTCGAGCGATCAATAATGGGACTTGATATCTCGACAATGCAGCAATCAAATCTGTGACTGATGTCCGTCCCAAGATATGGACACCCCGGAACCGTTCAATTACTCATCGAGGAAGGGGCCGACGTGAACGCACGGGATCAGCTATTTCAAGTCCGCAGTTGAAAAAGAGAAGGCTATGAAAGAAGTATGGCCCGGGCTCGAGTCGAACGAGAATCTCCTCAGGCTGTCGACTTCTTAATCACATCGCATGGTATGCAGATGCGGACCCTCCGCTACTGGGCCTTCTTCTCCTCCCCTTTGACCTTGCTTTGCCCAAAAATTTGCGTTGAGCTAGGGGAAAAAAACCCAAGAAACCGATAATGGCCCAGGCTCGAGTCGAACGAGCGGCTCCCGCTGACTTCGATATTCCTCAGAATTGGAAGCGGGCAGCGGACCGTTCGCTACCGGGGCTTCCTCCCCTTCCTACCACCCTCTCTAGATCAGAATTTTGCGCAGACAGATTTTAAAAAAAAAGTGGAAGACATGGATGGCCGAGGTTCGAGTCGAACGAGCGTCCCGCTGACTTGCATACTCCCAAGCAAACCGCTTGATGCAGGTGCAGAAACCGTCCGCTACCGGGCCTTCTAATCTTCTTTACAGACTCGGATAGCTCAGAATCTTCCATAGCCAAAAAAAGAAAGAAAGAAAGTCAATATCCTAGACCTATGGCCCAGGCTCGAGTCGAACGAGCACATCCCGCAGAAATGAAGCTAATCCGCAGCAGGTGCGGACCGTCCGCTACCGGGCCTTTTTTCTGCTATCTGTGAGCTTGGGTGAGTCAGCAATTTTTCCAGCTGAAGGCAAAAGAAATACTTATACTCCAGAATGGCCGAGTCTCGGACCCTCGGTGTCTTCTGCTGACTTTCTCTCAAGTGTGGTTTGTGAGCAAGTGCGGACTTCCCGCCACCAGGCCTTGGTTTGGTACATGTGAGCTTGGGTAAATCAGACTTTTGCGCAAACTCAAAAAAAAGAGAACTATACACAAGCAATATGGCCCAGGCTCGAGTCGAACGAGCACTCCTGCATATGGAATTAGCAGACGTATTGGACGTAGGCGCGGAAACCGCCCGCTACCAGGCCTTGCTTTGCATACCTTGGACCCAGCATTTATGCACCATTTATTTCCATTGCAAAACTCTCCCCGTGTTTTAAAACCGTGAGCGCATCGCCCAGGCTCGAGGAGAACAAGAACCTCTGATATATTAGCGACTTTTGCCCTGCCAAAAAAAAAGAAAAAAGACGTACATGAAGAATGGCCCAGGCTCGAGTCGAACGAGCGTCCCGCTGACTTGCATACTCCCAAGCAAATTGATGCAGGTGCGGAACCGTCCGCTACCGGGCCTTCCTCCCCTCCCTTCTGCCTTCACTATCCCAGGCATTTTTGCTCCGCATTTGAAAAAACCGAGGGACCGACATATGGCCCGGGCTCGAGTCGAACGAGCACACCCGCAGAAATCGAGATACCCCAAGAATTGAAAGCAGGCGCGGACCGTCCGCTACCGGGCCTTTTTTCTGCTATCTGTGAGCTTGGGTGAATTAGCAATTTTCCACTCAGCCAGAAAAAAACACGCTCCACGAAGAATGGCCCAGGCACGAGTCGAACGAGCGCTCCTGCTGACTTCATTGACCCCGATGCATGGGACGCAGACGCAGACCGTCCGCCACTGGGCCTTGTTCTCATCCCTGCGAACTCCTCTAGCTCTATGATTTCTGCTGCGCCCAAAAAAGAGGGGGAGCGACGGATAACGGCCCAGGCTCGAGTCGAACGAGCGGCTCCTGCCGACTTCTTAATAACCTCGTAACTCATAATCGAGTGCAGGCGCGGACCGTCCGCTACTGGGCCTCTTTCTGCCATCTGTGAGCTTGGGTAAGAAAAAGAAATTCCTGCATTCCAGAATGGCCCAGGCTCGAATCGAACGAGCACCCTCTGCATACTATAATCCCAACAGTGGAGCTAGTGCAGGTGCGAACGATCCGCTACCGGACCTTCTCTCCATCCCTTTTGACCTCCCTTTGATCAACAATTTTCCTGGAGGCAGAGAAAAAAATGGAGATGAATGAAGAATGGCCCAGGCTCGAGTCGAACGAGCACTCCCGCACAATCGGAGAAAACCCAAGAATTGAAAGCAAGCGCGGAAACCGTCCGCTACCGGGCCTTTTTTTGCTAACTGTGAGCTCGGTGAGATCTGAATGAATTCAAATGGGCAGTCAGATCTAGTCAGATCTAGAATCAAGCGAACTGAGACAACTTGAAGTAAAAGCTTCGAGAAGGTCGTTGTGGCGCCCGTTTGATTCGCGATATATTATTGCCTCCGAACTTGAGGAGGTTCAAGGTTGGGATTGTAACGTTAAACACAGCGTGAGGGGTAGACAAGTAGGTCCGAGTTACGGCATACCGCAGCAGCGCAGCGGAGATGCAGATGGAGTAGCACAGATGTTGAGTTAACGTTCAGAGACAGCAATTAAACTTCATATTAGAATCATAACAGATTGAAAGACGCCAGTCACTGGGAGAAATTTCGGTGGCGTCGGCGCTTCGTGATTGGCAGGTTTATTGGAAGTTCAGGTCGCCAACGAGGCTTGCTTATCGAGTCGAGGGACAAGAGGCCAAACGCGTCGGTGTTAGTTGCGAGCTCGGATCCGGAGTTGCGACACGCAGCGGGGAAAGGCGGGAAGGAAGACAGATTGGCGCTCCGGCGCCTTTGCGACGAAAATATTGGTGGCGTTGTTCGTTGATTGGCGGGATTGATAGGGGTCTTGAATTTTCACAGTGGACCTGGACTTGGGGCCTTGTGAGACGCAGAGTGTCCCTGAGGTGAGGGGTCAGACGAAGACGAAGCCCGTAGAACCTCGAAGGTTTCGTTGTGCTTGTAAGTTGTGGGGGGAGAGAAAGAGGGTTAGACGCTAGTAGCTATAGCGTCCGAAGCCCAAAAAGGGAAAATGCACATCACGAGATTCACGTGGTGTGAAGTACTCGGATCCGGGTCGCACAGGCGGGTGGTGGACGTGCGGTGCGCTTGCGACTTGCTCTCACCACCACCACGAACCCCGGCGTCGGTGGTAGCCATCGTAGGGACTGGCTAGTTGGCTGCGGCTGTTGTGTTGCTGTCGTGCTGCTGTCGAGTCATCTCTGTATTCGGATCTCTTCTGGCATTCGGCATCCTCTAGTTCTTGGACTTCGAGTACTCGATAACTCGTCTTCTGAGGATTCGGCTCACGCACTCGAGCCTCGATACCTGGACACCCGTGCCTTGATACCTGGCACCTCGATAGCTTGGCTCACCCATGGGCCAACCCGTCTCGAAAGACTCGCGCACCGAAAAAGCGCGCTCGGACGCCATCGACCGGCAGATCCACGAAGATTCCAAACGGTACAAGAAGGAGTGCAAGATCCTCCTCCTCGGCTCGGGCGAGTCCGGCAAGAGCACCATCGTCAAGCAGATGAAGATCATCCACCAGGCGGGCTACGACACGCGCGCGCGCGCCGAGTTCCGCACCACTATCTACAAGAACGTGCTTGACTCCGCCGTGACGCTCGCACGGGTCGTAAGGAGAGTGGGCGTGGGGAGCTTGGGGAGGCGGAGGGGGTGTATGCGGCGCGGCTGCTTGCGGCGTTTCCGGCGCTGCCGGGGGAGGAGGAGGGGAGCAGCGAGGAGGGGGGCGAGGACGGGGAGATCGAGGTCGGGATCGACCCCGTGCCGTTCACGCGGATATCCGAGCGCGAGCGCGATCCGGGCAGGGACAGGGAGGGCGGGGGCATCCCGACGGGGCGCGTGAGCGCGCGGCCGCCCACATCGGAGGGCGTGCCGAGCGCCGCGGCGGACGTGCTCGCGCAGACGCACGCGGTGCTCACCCCCGCGCTCGCGGACGCCATTTTCCACGTCGCGCGCGTCCCAGCGGTGGAACGGGTGGTGGACGAGCACCCCGCGGAGTTTTATCTGATGGACAGCGCGTCATAGTGAGTCTTTCTATTCTCCTTGTATATGTGAAGAGCGCGATACTGATGAGATGTGTTTACAGCTTCTTCGCCTCGATCCACCGCATCGCGCACCCGACGTATGTCCCCTCCGAGGAGGACGTCCTCCGCGCGCGCGCCAAGAGCACCGCGATCATCGAGACGCGGTTTTGGATGGGGGATTTGTCGTGAGTCTCGTATTTTTCTACTCTTTTTTTCTTCTTCTCTTCTGCTCGTGTCGTGTACCTTGCGACAACCGTACCCCTTACCCCGCATCACGCCTCCTGTTGCCCCGCATCTCCTTGACGGCCCCTCCTCTCCTCCCTCTTCCTCTCGTCCATCTCCCTCCACCCCCATTCGCAGCCGCGCGATCGTCTTCCTCCCCCCTCCCTTTGGTACCGTCTGCCCGCCCGTCTGTTACTCCCCATGCCGTCCCTCGCATCGCGCGCCTTCGTCCTCTGCCACGCGCGCGCTCCTGTCCGGATCCATATCCAATTCAATTCCCCACATCTTCCCTCCCCGATCCTCTTCTCCTTCGGACGCGTCGTCCGCGCCTCCGTCGTCGTCCTCCCTCTCCCACACTCCCCTTGCGTGGACGCCGCATATTCCCTTCATGCGTCCTCCACTTCACGCGTCCTCCACTCCACGCAGACGTGTCCGGTGCACCCTCCTTCCCTATCTCCCCCTCCTCTACCTGTCCCCCGCACGCCCACGTCCGTCATCGCGTTCCGGCCTTTCTGCTCCTTCGTTCGACCCGTCGATCACGTCCTTCTCCTTCCCCTTCCGTCCGCGCCATTCCCACCCGCGCCCCCATTCCCGCGCCCTCCCTTGCGCGCATACGGTCCCTCGCTCCTCCCGTTCTATCCTGCGCGCCTTTATCTCCCACTCTCGTCCTCGTCTCGTTCTTGCGCGCCATCTGCCCATCCCCTCCCGCCCCCGTCTTTCCCTTCTTCGCTCTTCCTTGTCCGTGTCCACGTCCACATTCCCGTCCCCGTCCCTACACCGTCGTCGTCCCGCACCCATTCATTCCTTGCCCTTATCCCGCTCCACCCTCACTTCCCCTCCGTCCTCGTCCTCCGCCTCACACCTCCCTCCGTCCACACTCATTCATTCCTTCTCTGTGTTCCTGTTCCTGTCCGTTCCCGTCCCTGGTCGTCCGTCTTCCCCCTCCTTTTCTGCCTGTTCCTGTTCCTGGCCGCTCCATTCGCGTCCCCGATGTCCGCGCCCTCGTTTCTGCGCGCCCCACGCCTTCCGCGCGTGTCTCCCCTCCCCTCCCCTCCCCCGGCTCGTTATTCCCGCGCCGTCCTCTCAGCATCCCCTCCACGTCCTCACACACTCCATTCCCCCACCCCGTCTGCACCGTCCCCGTCCTCCCTGCATCCCGTGCTCGCCTTTCCTCCCCGCGTCCCCGTCGTCCGTCCTGCTCCCGGGCGCAGAGACAGATGCGCGCGCTCCATCTTATCCGGATTCCGCGTCCCCTTCGCTCCCTCCCCTCTTTTCTGCCTTCTGCTCCTTTACACGCCACTGCGCCTCTTATCACCGCTTCTCTCCTCCTTTCTCCATCATCTTTTGCTTCTGCTCTCCCTTTCTCATATCTTCCGCCCTTTAAACCTCTTCTCTCTGCGAACGAGCAAATGCGTACGATGCTGACATCACGGACAGGATCCACATGTTCGACGTCGGCGGGCAGCGCTCGGAGCGGAAGAAGTGGATACATTGTTTTGAGAGGTGCGTCTCTGCCCTCTGCTCACTCTTTCCCCTTTCTCCGTTCCACTGCTTCGCTTCCTTCGATGTTTCCCCTTTTTCTTGCTGGGAGACGAGGCTGCCCTATTCCTGAGGCGGCAGGGGATGCGGTGTTTCGAGGGCCGGGCAGGACGCGGTATGTGGAGGGCGCCGCGACCGTGGCAGCAGGAGGGCTGAGAGTCGGGCGCGGAGAGCCGGTGTGGTGAGCCGATGTGGAGACGGGCGCACGGCTGCTGCGAGCTGTTCCCTCTGGAGGCGTCGTGGAGGGCGCCGCTGGCAGGAGTGGGGGCACTGGCGAGAGTGGGCCGCGAGGGCGCCGTGGAGGCCGTCGTGGAGGGCCTGTACGTCTCGGCGCGCATCCTCCCCGCGAGGACGTGGGACCCTCTGAGTCCGGGTGGAGCGACGCGCTGGAAGTCGAGTGGGGCGTTGCCGAGGACGAGATGCACTCCGCGACCGCAAGACGCCCGGCCAACAACTGGAGCGAGACGCACGGCCACCAACACACCAACATAAGCACCTGCGAGCGCTCATAATGGCGGCCTACACGAGGGAGTGGAAGGACCTCCGCAGCGCCCGCTCTCCGCCCCGTAGCCCATCGGAGACGGCGGTGTATTAGCGGCGGACGCGTTCGCCGGTTGTGGTGGAGCCTGTCCTTCGCGTGGCACGATGTAGAGCAGAGTCGTCGGCGTGGTCGAGTGGAGAGGCAGCGTGTGGCCGAGGCTGGGCTGCTGACGTGGCGCCGTGCTCGGCGGACAGGGCCGCTCGAGGCCCCGCTGTCGAGAACGCAGACGCTACGCGAGCGGTCGGTTAGCGCGGGGGAGGCGTAGTCGCGGCGCGATGTGGTGGGCGGTCCCCGCGGAGGGCCCCGTGGAGAGCGCCGCTAGTGAGAGTGGAGACGCTGGCAAGAGGGAGGGGCTGGTGGATGGCCCTCGGGAGCGCGTGCGAGGGTGTCGGCGTCGGCGTGGGGCGTCCCGCGGAGGGCGAGGGCGTGCGATGCGAGGACGTCCACGTGCGTCGGTGTCGCGGAGCCGTGAGGCGAGTGGCGGAGCCCCTGCTTTCGTCCCGTCGTGCGCCTCCTGCGTCGCCCCTTCGCCCCCATCCCTGCTGGGGCGCCCCTACCTTTCTCCCTTCCCCCTCATCTCTCT